AATACATGACATTTAGGGTATCATTACATCTTTGGCTGATTTTACACAGAGTTTCTGCTTGGCCTTAGAGACGAGAAACATTCAAAAGGTGTTCTTGGTATAGACAAAAAAGTTAATTCAAATCAAGTCAAGTGAGACAGGAAATTAAAAATGTTAAATAACTTCAATTATTAAGTAGTAGCCATATAGTCTTGACGGTTAAATGAAGAACTTTGACAGCGAATGGCCTGAAAGTAAATATTAAAAATATCGTAATTTAGACTCTCCAGAAAATTCAGTTTCTTTTCTAAGAAAGCATTAGGTAAAAGCAATTGTTAAACCAACTGAAAGGCAGTTAAAGTGAATACAGTTAAAAAATGAAACTGTTTCTACGACAATATTTCGTCGTTTCTCATCAATTAAAGGCGTCTAGCCAGACATTTAGTTAGAATACTCTGCAAGCCTTTTTATATCTTTAAAGAAAGCATAGAAGGCCTTAGCTACAACAGAGTTTACAATCAGAAACTAATTCATACAGAGCATGATTCTTCTTAAAGAATATAAAAAAAAATCAAATAAAGTTAGCGGTAAAATAAGCCGGAAAAGTAAAATATATTAATATTATAATACATCAAACTACATGTAGGGTGCATGCTAAATGATTAGTTCTGCCAAATCACCCCAGGCCATAATTGGTTCAATGCAATCATACCAGGCCAATTGCTTCACTCAACGTTAATGGTCCACTTCTGTTAAGTTGGAACTTGTTTGCACCGTTTACCAACGAAGAGAAGGCAGTAAACATCACAGTAGGCAGATATTAATAATTCAGATCTAATGAAACTTTCACATGTTAGCCTTTGTAAAGTGAAACTAACGAAGCAATTGTCCGAAGTGCCAAGCATGTCGGATACTTTCTCGGGTACAATTATCTGTGTTTTGTTCGTTTGTTTGTTTTGCTTTGTTTCTTTTTTTGTTTTTTACCTTTTCGTCTCAGTTATTGCTGATATATATATTTTTTCCTTTTATGCAACAATTTTGTCACAATTTTAAAACCGGTAATATTTCATGACTCATAGAATAGCAGTACTAGACGAGCAGTCATTTAAGAAAAAAATGCCTGAAGGAGCGCCAATACCTAAAGGCACCTTTGAGAAGAAAACTTCATTCTCGGCATATTGTACTCAAATTTTATTTCTGTTTATTATCAAAAGAAGATGATTTGTTCTCGCTATCAGCATTTGCCACCAACAATGCAAATGTTACGTAATCAGAAAAACAAAATTACAAACAAAAAAAGAATTGAAGAAGCATGTTGTCTTGTCATGCCGAGTCTTGCCGGGTGCAAGAAATTGCTTCGCCATGTATTATTAGTAACTCACCTTTGGTTTGAGCTGGGGAAGGCGTTATCGACTTATCTGCGTCGCTAAATGTTCGCCAGCCAGCACCAAATTTCGTGATGTTTGTATAAAATACGTTTGGCAAAACCCAAGGTTAACGGATAGTGTACTTGCTTTCATGGCCTTACTTACGGAATCTGACTGACACGCGCTGGTCCTACCAATTCTTTTCGCAGTTCGTATTCGATTACCGTGCGCGAGTTTAAGTCTAGTAAATGCTACAATCCTAAATAAGACTTCTTCTAGCCTGAATATAACTCCGCTCAGCATGAAAGTGGTAAGGTTACATCTGCCGTAGGTAACGGCAACACTTTATCATTACGCTGATACATAACTTTTCACTCGGGGTGTTACGTAATATATCACAGTCGGTCTAATCAGTGCGAGCGTCCGAGTAAATATGCCTTGCTATTCATTCTTAGCTTTTATCAACTTGGAATTAAACGCCGGGGCAAGTTTATGAAAATGATGTTTCGCGTGATAACCGTTGGAGGCAAAGTACACGTTTGTCTCGAACTGAAGAAGGGAGTGACGTTCGAATCATCAGCTTCATAAATAATTTACCTTCATCAGTGCCAAATACTCGGGGATTGTTTTCCACCTATCCGCAAACGCAGCCCTAGAATTTCCTTTAATAATAATACATTTGCTATTCATTACGCCTCTTTCGTGCTTATGTCCCCCTGCACTCCCTCAAAATTCAATTCTCAATGACGAAAGACAAATATCTGTCTTCCACATACATTACGAAATGAAAGTGGCTCTCTAGTGCATGTAACATGGGTTGATGGAAAATAACATGTGTTATATGCCTGAACGAAGCCTCGATAACTGAGGTACCTTCAGTTTGAGAAGAAAACTAACTTATTTTATCGTTACAGTTTTTGCGTATTTTGTCATTTTATAATTTTCAAAATAGATTATTTGTTCTCCCTATCAGCATTTGCCAGTAAAAGTGCAAATGTCAAGTAGTCAGAAATTGGAGAAAAAAAAAAGGAATTGAAGAAGCAAATTGTCGGTGTGTCATGCTGAGTTTCTGTGGAGCAAGAAATTGCGTCGCTGTTAAAAGTATTTGTGCAAATTCGTAGACTTTAGTAGTAGTTATTGGATAATTTTCTTAGAAATTGGGCCAAAACCGTCTATCTTCAAGATCTAACTCAAACTTGAGAACTTCTCAAATTTATACCCTCTCGAAAGCTATGAATATTGAAATTTAATTTCTCGAGATCTAGCAGCCTTCTCCGTTGTACTTGTCACTTGTAACTTTCAATGCTTTTCTTTTCAAATGTTTACTTCACTTAAGAAACAAGGCTGCTATGCTACCGTTAAACAAGCGGAATTCTTCTATCGAGGGTCTCCCATCTAAATTTAAGAATAGGCTGTTGGAGTGCTTTGGTTACACGACTGCACATGGTTATGGAAGAGTAGCCGCTGCAACTGAATCACAACTAAGACGATGGTTCTGGTTGCTGGCCTGCGCTGCAGCATTTGGAATATTCAGCTATCAGCTCCATGATTTAACAGTTCAATTCCTGTCACGACCACTGAAGACAAGGACTCGAATCCAACATGAGCAGGTGAGATCCAAACATTGCGTCATCACTGACAACTTATGCTAAAAGGAACTTAAAGGGGCTAAGTTAAGGCATTTCATGTAATTCTGTCTATTTTTATCAGTTATTGACCCTAAACAAAAGTCACTGGCACTTTTTACAACCATATATAACAAACAACGTGATGTTGGAGTATTACAAAGAACACTTTCGTACAAACTGAGGTAAACTTGGTAAAGAAAAAAGTCGCCCGAAGTTTTTTTTAAGTTTACCTGAATTCAATGCAGTTGAATCCAGTCTTGCCCTCTTCTCCCCTTTTGGGGTCTTCTATTTGTCTTGAGGTTTTCATCAGTTTAAAACTGGTATAAATATGATACTTCAGCTAATTCTATAACCATCTGATCACTGCTTAAATTGCCTAAAACTGCCCAACCTAGCCCTTTTAGTGTTCACTGGCGCATTTTCGTAAAATGAATAACAAAATGCGTTTTCTTGATCTAGAGACTGCCGTTTCCCCAAGTTACCATCTGCAATCTAAATAAGATCCGCCAGTCCAGAGTCCCGGAAAAAATTAAAGAAGATTTCCCTCAGGTCATCAGTGGTGTTATAGGGGGTAAGATAGTTTGTTTATTTTGAAACTGAGCGAATGTAGTAATAATTTGCCTGAAGTGGATAGTACTTCTCTTTTGAGCGACTCACAAACCGACATTTTACACAACAATAAAAAGAATTAAGTTCCATTTATAGATAAGAAGATATTTCCACGAACTTTGTTCAAAATTTGGGACATTTCTGATCACATCATTAAGATGAAAATCTGCATCTGGTTTCGATTGCCATTTTTACTTTCCATGGAGTAAGCTAAGTAACATATAACTCTGAAGAAGACTGCTGAGTCCGCTGCGACCAACAATTGTCTTTCTTAAAAATATGTTTAATCACACCTCACGAACCACTGAACGTCAATTCAAACCATTTTGTGTGTGTTTTGTTGTTGTTGTTGTTTTTTACAGCAACATCATATTTACTTCCCAGAACAAATACCATTGCAGTTAGAGTATATTGAAGTTGAGGATAAGTTGCTTAAGGTAACCTGTTGCAATCGTGAACTATGCTGTTACTAAAGGTGAATGGCAAGAACTGCTTCACAAGTCTCGCTAGGATGTCTCGAACAGTGAAAGATGTAATTTTTTAATTGGGTTTTTTGCTTGTTTTTTTGTTTGTTTGTTTGTTTCTCTCTGCATGTAAATCAAGCTGGGGCAAACAACAGTTGGACCAGTGCCAACGGCCTTTTTCCTGCGACGCAAATGGTAGAGATGGTTCATGAACAGCTGTCTGAGTACCCTGTCGATGTTTTACAGGCTGCAGGACATCAGTTAGACAATTTGGTTTTATCTTGCACTTACGATACTGATGAATGCCTGTGAGTATGAGAATGGTTAAACTTACAGGTTATACATAGTCCAGTGTGTTTAGAGCCTTGATTGTAAGAAAATCAGATTTCGGCTCCGAACCGTGAATTGTGAACCTTAAAAAACATATTTTCAATGATAGAAACAATCAATGTTGGTCCACTGCTTTACAATTTGCAACTGCCAGTTGCTGTTATCAACGACTTCCCTGGTGAAGGGTGTAGCATGTGAGGAGAAGAAAAATATGGTGTCTGAATAATTGAACAAATGCAATTTTGCAAGAATGGCCTTTTTTTCGCCGGGGATCTACAGACGCGAGAGAGTTATCACGAAACTAAATGTGATTTAACGTAACAGTAAAAAGCTTCACGTTTCCTGTGCTGGTATTGTTTTGGAGAATCTTCATTGCTTACATTTTTCCTCATTAGCATACGACTTCGCGCAGAGAAGGCATCACGCTAGACACGAATTGACCACAAGCATTTAAAAAGCTTGTGAAAGTTAGAAATTAGCGAAATGGTTAGCTCTTTGGGTGCAACAATCGAGGAGAAATTGGCCTTCAAAAACTGCAAAATTTCTGGGTGGCAAAAGCGCTAATGAGCTCATACATTCTTTGTAAAATTTTGAGTTTTTAAACCCGTGTCGCGCAAAAAGTATTCAATAAAACGAGCTCAAAATTCCTTAGGACAGTTAATTGTGCTGTACTCTTTTGATATTCAAAATTAATGTTTTTGTGGCTCTATCAGAAACTGTGTCGATTATGCTAAGGAGACAAATATTGTAAACAAAGATCTAGATTCTCCTATAACAGCAGGTTACATGTAGTTAATTATAAGCTATCTGTACTAATTCCCTAGCTAACAAGCTAATCGAGCCGGGTAACGTTTTTAGCCTTTTCAAACCGGTGTTCATAATTTCGTCTGGGACGCTCTTGATTGCCGGCGAGGTCTGTAGGCACATCGTTGACTATGAGCCTGTTATTTAAGGTTGTCGCCATGCTATGTGCCAATGTCCTATGCAGAATCTATCTTTAACACGACAGTTGCTCATTACACCTGGGTTACCATACGTTTCAGTGATAGCACACCACAATTTTGGACACAGTACTGGCATCACAAGTATGGCAACTGCTATACGTTTAACCGTGGAAAGGACGATCACAATCGCAAAACCAAAGTGAAGACATCATCCATTCCTGGTCATGTAGGAGGTAAGAACCGAGATTTTTCAGACAGATGTTTGTCAAACTGAGCCATAGGTATACATGTATACTCAGTCCATACAAAGATTACAAATCACGTACATAAAGCGCAAAAGTACACAACATATTCTAAAGTCTACGTACAAGAAAATGTGTTTGTCAAATTCGGAAAAATCGTGAGTAGTTATGAGTCAGTAAAGCAGCTCAAATTAGCGACGTGCATGGAGTACTATGGCACGCATTTTAAAAGGAGCACGATACATCAAGCTAAGTTTTAAGCTGATGATTCGTTTTTGGTAAAACTTAAGCAAGTCTCAGGAGACAATTATCAGCTTAACTTATATTAAGTATATTTCACATTAAATTCTCTACAGGTCTCACCTTAGAGTTAAATATTGAACAAGATGAATATGTAAGTCTGTTATCTCAAGAAGCGGGTATTCGAGTGTTCGTGTCAACGCAAAATGAGATGCCCTTCCCTTACGAATTGGGAATCAGCGCAGCTCCCGGTTACTCTACATCCATTCAACTTCGAAAGGTACGTGTACTCATGAATTCTTAATTGCGAAGCTTCTTAATTACGAAGTCTACTTCATCTTTGACTGTTTGTTTGTTCTTGCCTTTTCTTCTCTCTTTAATTTCTCCCTTTTTTTAACCAGCAGACAGAGAGGCACACAGAAACAACTTACAGGAGGAAGACTGACCGGTCACTAGACAGTCAATCAGTCAACCAGACAAACAAACAGACAGACATCACCCGACTCCGATCCCGTTTTGGGTTTTTAGTTTTATTTAGTTTTTGTCCTTTTGTTTTGTTCTATTTTTTAAGAGGAGGAGGAAGACGATCTACTGAGGTCTCTGGATCAATTAAGATGTCCGCGCTTTTAATTAAAATGAAGATTAGCCAATGAAAGGGCAAGAAATTTGACAGTTATGCTAAATATTTTGCAGGTAATAATTGGTAGGTTGGATCCTTTTGCGAACGGGAGTTGCGAAACAAAAGACAACCTCGGGGACGACAACATATTCGGTGGCTTCAACATTTCCTACAGCGTCATGGTAAGATATCAAAAAGGTACATAATCTAGAAATAACGAAAAAGAAATGTAATTTTTTTTTTTTTCACATTTTTAGTCTTTTTAGTCTGAAGCCGTGTCGAAGTCTATGCTAGGTTCTCTGCGGTTTGCTTGAAATATCCAGTTTTCAAGATGGACCATTTGGGGAAAGTTTCGCAGTTTCATTCGCCACGGAAATTGGAATAAATGCAAATGCATTTGAGGTGGAATTTGTTAGTGACCCGGGCAATGGCAATTCATTCTTTCTTATATATTTTTTATTATTATTATTATTATTATTATTATTATTATTATTATTATTATTATTATTATTATTTTCTGTTCTCGAGATACATCTCAATTACCAGTCAGAAATAAAAGCTTATGAAACTAAATCGATTACCTAATTCAAATGCTCTAACATTCTGATTGCAGCTATTCCAGTTGCTACGTGCGAGGAGTATTGCACCTAACTCGCCTTTTTCCCCTTCGACAGTCACATTCTAACTAACCTGTGAACGCAGACGTATTTCCGGCTGTCGCTTGTCGAAAATTACGTTTGCGCAAGCTCCACGCACGATTTCTGCGTGTTACCTCTTCCGATAAGCAAGGTAGAATGTGATTGCTTTAATAAGAGTTGACGTCCTGAAATCGATCTTTCACTCGCAGGCGGGTTCGTGGACCTTATTATCATCGGAAACAAGCGACAGCCGAAAATACGTCGGCGTTCGCAGACTATATTCCCACCGATGTGTGAGGAATTCTATGTGATTATTTTTTTTATCTTTTCATGCCATATAATCTATGTTATAATTTTGCTTCCAGGCCTGCAAGTTTTCATGCTTAGCAAGGCTCATGAATCACCGCTGTGGCTGTGTTATATACACATTGAAGTATGGCGACATGACGAATGCATGCAATAGCACGGACACGCTGACAGGTATGCTTTACGTTGACGCAGCCGCTGAATGTTCAATTTTGCTCAGTTTTAAGTCATAACCGTAGCATTTTGCAAGGGTGGGACGAGGTAGATACAGCTTCCCTTCGAGAGTTTTTTCCAGTTTTTTCGCCACTTCATTTGATATTTGCCGTTGGAACCTTATTTTTACAGGTCATTCAAGCCAGTTTTGTCTTTTTCGCTAAAAATCTTTGTTTTCTTGTTTTTTAGTTTTCTTTAGCAACATTGCAGAACTTGCACCTCTTTAAACTTTTTTACCTTCTAATATCATTTTTGGAAAATTTCCTAGTAGTTTTTACGTTTTGTTTTATCGATCTCTTTTCCCTTTTGGATCGGGGGAAGGGAATATAACTAAAAAAATTTATCAGTATAATTTTTATCATTTTTACTTTGGGAGGCGTTATTCAGCAAAATAACTTTAACCGTAGTCCATAAGGTCTGAAAAATGATATACCAAACCGCTGTTCATCCTCAGCTAAAAACATAAAATAAAAGTCCGTTGTTCCGGGGTCACCGACAGCAGCGTCCTACCAACTGAGCTATTGTAGCGTGGCATGAAAACATGATGCAGTTATTTAGACTTTCACATTCATGCACAGAGACGCTTTACAAAACTAATAATTACTCGGCCAAAAATAATTCAATCCAAGACCAAAATGGACAGTTTAAAGGTGGCCAGACACGAGGGGTCATGTTGCAGGGACATGTTGCAGCGACATGTTGCAGCGACAAAAAATTTGTGTGGTGCACACTGAGGGGACATGTAGCAGGGACGCGTAGCGGGGACATGTAGCAGGGACCAAAGTAAAGCATGCTGGGCATTACCAAAAGCATGCACCATGCCGTCAGTCAGTTCACACAGGGGGATATGTCGCTGCAACACATCCCTGGGACATGTTCCCGCAACACTTTCGTGTGTGTAAATGTTGGGATTTTGTCCCTGCTACGTGTCCCCGCTACACATCCCTGCTACATGTCGTCCAAGTTTGTACTACACACGTTTTTGTCGCCGCAACATGTCGCTGCAACATGTCCCTGCAACATGACCCCTTTTGTCTGGCCACCGTAAAGGTCAATGATACAGACATGAAGTTTGCTAAACTTCAGACCTACAGCTCTGATACTCAAGGTAGAAAAGTTTATTTGTTAAATTACAGAGCATGTATGGGAACGCCATTACAGAGAATTTATGGGCACTATCAGATAATTGCAAATTTTTCGGCTATAAAAAATTCAATCCAAGAACACAATAAACAATTTTAAAGTTAATGATGCAGAGATGATGTCTGCTAAAATTTCTGATTTTATTGAATTACATAGCATGCATGGGAACGCCATTACAGAGAATGTGTAAAATCCCTTTTCGTAAATATATGCCTTCTCCAGTGAGAAACTTTGCCCGACTTCAATTGCCTTTCCTGCTAATATAACATACATTGGACAGTACAGTCTTTCCTGCCCGCTGAATGCTGATTGATCAATTCCGATTTCCGGCGCACAGCCATATGCAAGATGGGCTTTTCACAATGTTAAAAAATGGCTTATTTCTTTCAGTTGATTGTATTGATGCTGCATTTGATGAATTCTATGCCGGAGCATGTGAAAAGCAATGTCGAGAAAAATGCAGGTGAAGGGAAGCTCACCATTTTCCGTAATGATAAATATTTATGATTCTCAAACTCATTCATGATTCATGAAGTTTAAACAAAGGAAATCATGACCGTGACAGTGTTTGGACTACCTAATCGTAATTTCCATTCGCCATTTCCACATCCCCATAATACACGTTGTTTGCACCCCAAAATTCTGCATAACATTTGTTTCCCATTTCTCCTGGGTACTACAGTCGTCCCAAGAGAAACTGAAGACAATGCTTAGGCAAAAATTTTTTTTGTTGTTTTTTTGGTGGGGGCGTGGGGGGGGATAAACAAGGTATATTATGGGGAATGTGGAAGTGGCGAATGGATTTTTTTCCATTTTTTTAATCCGCTTTCCTCTTAGTTTTAGTTTCCGTTGAGAAAATGGAAATCGATGATCGTCAAAAATACTGTGCTTCGCGTCGTATTTTCAACTCTATTCTCGGTGTTTGGAGATGTGGTCGAACAGGGCCTTTCGCGTTTGATATATTACATAACAAAATTAACTAATCTATTAATTTATTTATTTACATGATGCTGTTTACACATTTTTTCGACATTAACATTTAACATCTTTTTTATTATTCTTATGTGGTTAACTACAATTTAATAAAATAGAAATCGCGACGAAATAATCTCTAAAACCAAAACATGCCTACTTAATTAAACGAGACATTTTTACTTTCGCAGTCATATAAGTTCCACAAGAGCCGCTGACCAAAATGCATGCCAACATCCTTTCATGCAGCAGTAGTAATTATAACCGCAACATAAATTCGTTTAAATTTCGTTAGTCACTAAAGTCACATTTTCTTTCTAAGGGAGAATACTTTCAAGATGACAATTTCTGTCGCAAGTTGGCCTTCTCGACATTATAGGGTAATGTATACATGTACTTTGGATAACGTATACAATACCGACGAAGCTTGATGAAAACTTACTGGACATCCTTTTTGTAAAGCGAATGCAAGTGGAACAAGGATTTGTATAGATATATGACATTAACACAATTACACACTTAATTGTAATCAGTCTTTTGGGATAATTATTATATGACGGTGTCTTGCAAAGACTAGGAACTACCAAATTTCCGAACATGCTTGGCTAAAATCGCAGTCATTGGTCATTGGTCATTGGTCAATTGTATAACAACAGTGTCATGGAACAAACCTCAGTATAACTCAATAAGGCTGCAATACAAAAAGGTCCAGTACAATGGTTTCTGGTTTATGATAATCGAGCAAACTCTAATGAGGGTCCAGATGGAAATGCTGGAACCTCTGTTATCAGTTGAATTTCTGGCATCATTATATATTTATTGCATCATAATACACCATTTTATTGCGAGTCATACTTTTTTAATGTACGTAGGTCAATAGCTCCACAGGGAGTGGCACTGGTTTGCATAATTGAAAGGTAGAACAAAGATGACCAACGGTTTGGTATAAATGACCACAAATGTGAAGATCTTATTAGAAAGAAAACTATGTTAAAATACAAGAACTGAACGCTGGAGTGGAAATTCCGCTACAATGTCGAATTAAATACTCACAGGGTCATGGTTATAAAGGGAACGGTTACATACTACAGATAGCAGCTTTTTTGCCTGGAACTTGAACACATACTATTCTCTGATTGGTCAGTGAACGATTGTAACAGGGCAACAGGAAATGCAATATAATGTATTCTGATTTCAGCTTGTCAATACGTTTGTTTGTTTGTTGTTTGCTGGTATTTTCCTTAATGCTGAACACAAATGTAAAAGAAACAATAATACAATAAAAATATGGCATGTGACATTTTTATTTCCTTTCCATAACTTACAGGGTACATTCGAGGACGAACTAAATGAGCAAAAACTTGGGAATCATTCCGATGATCTGAGGTTGGTAAAATTAAAGTGGCTCACGAGTGACTTGCAATTTGAAGACAACCAGAAGGTTTCACAGTAGTTAGAAAGTTAACGCGGCTAGCCAAACTACGCGCCACAAAGGAAAAAAAATGGAAAAATTTGGCAGCTAACGAAAACAGTGGGTAAATTTGCCTGTAAACCCTGGACTTAAGCACTATGCAGTTGCTTTGCGGTTCCTAAGTTTTTTACCTTGCTGTGAACATTAATCAGTTCTTATTTTGGTTGTTTTGACTTCTCTAGTGAAAACTTTTTGAAGTTGAAGGTGTATTACGGAGAACTCAATTTTGAAGTGATAGAGGAAGAACTTGCTTACACGGTAGGGAAAATTAATTTCAATTGTCAATACCACCTATAACCTTAATTAAAAGTTAAGGAGGCAAATTCATTCACTACTTTTGAAGATTTTATATCATTTTAGAATTTCTTAATTATAAGGCAAATCAAACTTTCAGAGGCGAATCAAATGGGTGATAACTTTGAGCTTCGACAGGTTGAATTTACATGACTTAAAATTAATAATCCTTGCGTAGAAAACCATCGCGAAACAGGGATAGAGTTATTTTATGAACCTCTCATAATCATCTATTTTTTCTCTTCTAGGAGTGAAATGATCTGGGCTTGACATAGAAGTCCAAACTAGGCGTGATTTTGCGGCAATGGCTTATGGAAAATTTCAACCCAATTTCTCATACTTTGCTCAAGAACTATGCTTGTTAGAAAAGAACTTTTCCTTTTTGTAAAAGGCAATTGGACGGCCCCCTCCAACTAAACGTGATTTTCAGTAGTTGTCTTTCATAAATTTGACTGTTTTTTTTAACCAACAGTTTGCAAGATTTTTGTCAGATATTGGAGGAATCATGGGCATGTGGATTGGCATTTCAGCGTTGACGTGTGTGGAAGTTCTAGAGCTGGTGGCTTCGCTGTGTTACACAATTTTAAAAAGAATTAAACAACCACGAGCTAATGTTATTGAAGTACAAGCAAATGACAGTCCTGCTTAGAATTGTCGAAAGTACAATGATTCCAAATCAGGCTTTTTCAATCGCCCGGACAAGAGATGAAGTTTTTGGTAGCTACTATAATTAGAAGCGTATACGGCAGCGTGTTAAATAGTTTATTAAGACTTTTTTTTTCGCGAACAACCAAAAAACTTGATTTGTAACTTCGAATTCAAAGGACGGTTACCGAGCTTAATTAATGTGGAGATAAAGATATAATGAAACAAATCTTCTTAAAGAAGCTTAGTCACAGTATTTTGAGTTATTCTGGCCACGTACAAAATTATCTAAAAAATAAACAAAATGCCAAAGAGATAACAATAAGCCATAAAGGAACAAGGATGGTTTAGGATGGAGAAGATTAACAAGGATTACAAACGACGAACTTGAAAAGTTTAGGCTAAACTTTCCAAGATACACCAACAGTAACATAGCTCCTTTGAGTCTGCTCATTTTTAGTATTTTCAGAAATGGTTTTCAACTATATAGAAAAAAGTAAACTTAAATGGAAGTAAAATAACTTGTTTTCAAAATCAGTTAATGGCACAAACATTTCTAGAACAAGTAACGTTTATTCCTTCGGAATTCATCCTAAACAACGCTGCTTCAACTTGTTTCAACGACGAGCGCGTAATGTCATTCGGCTTTGCCGTAACAAATGTTAGGGTACATGTTTTATATTTTCTCATTTTTTTTTACCGTATATTGTTCAGAACAGTTTCTTCAATTCGAATGATTATATTTGATTATAATTTACCTCTTCCGAGGCCTATTGATAAATGTGCACAAGGTCTATAATATCTTGATTTTTGCATAAATAGATTCCTGTGGGCACAACTGCACTCTGTAACGGAAAGTTCTATGCTTGACTAAATCCCGATCAAAAAGTCTGATTTTCTTGTACAATGTTGGAGCAAAATAAAATAGAAGTCATTGACCACTGATGTGTTTAATGCCTATGTTGACCTTAAACACTATTCAGACAGTGTTTTGCTCAGCCGGGGGCGGGGGATGTGGAGCTCGCTTTGTAATTCTTAGAGCATTAAAGTTGTGACAGTAACACTAGGAAGATAGCAAGTCAAAACATATATTTCGTTTGAGGTCAATAAAATGAAACGATGTCGTCATAAGACGAAGTTATGACGCCATCATTTCCGAATTGGTTCCGCCATCTTGCATTTTATGAGTTTTGTAAAACGTTAGAATAGCCCAAAACCAATGACTCGAAAATAGCCAGAACTGACAAAAAAAAGCTAAAAATAGCTGAAAAATAAGTTACTACAAAAAATTACAAACGAAATATTCAAATTTCTACTGATAAGCTTTCAAAATATGGTTGTCGTGGAAACGTAAAGATCCTTGACTAATGAAATGCTACACCAAATTGTTCCTAGATTTGAGCTAGATTTTGTTGCTAAATTTTGAGCGCAAAGTTGTAATGCTTTACAAAGCTTCAAAGTTGATGAGGGCCCGTGTCTCAAATACTTTCTTTACATTTCGGTTTTTGAGACATTTACGAATCATATATCGACGATATTGGAAATTGTTTTAATGGCCACTTCTGGGAGACATCCCCGAACAAGTCATGGTTATGCCATTCTTTTCTTCTCAGTTTTCCATACATTGGTATATTAGAGAATTTATAGCATAATAACGAAAAACAGGGATGATAACACTAGTACACCAGTAAAGGACGTCAATCAGAAAACCAGAAAACGCCTTTTTCTTTTCGGGGGCTTCTTTGTAACTTTTCAGTGAAATCGTCAAATTGTAAGTAGCAAAATGAGAGCTTTCTAGCTCACTGCTGTGATGTAGGTGAAAACGCCATACAAGCAAGGAATTATTCCCGCTTGACGTCCGCGGTTCAAAAACGTCGGTGTCGTGCTGAAAACGGGCTGACCAAAACAAATCGCATTTTAGCACAGTATGGCATCTCTAGTGTTTAGACATATCTAACACAGTCAAAATAGAAATTCAATGCTAGCACATGGCATATGCATTATTGATTTTCTTTACCTCGCTGCATATAGCATACTATGGTAATGGCATTTGGCTTTCTTATGTCCTCAGTACCACGGTAAGAGCTTTTTTTTTATCTCCTTAACTGTTGAACCAAAAGAAAGTAAGATATTTATTTGGTTAGTTGTTTTTTCGCTTTATACAGAAATTAGACAGGAAAGAACTCAGATAGTGGGATATCTATATATAGCCTTTGTGATCATTGTAAAACCATTCTCTCTGGTTGCCGTCAACTCTTTACATAAATGCTGCAAGAGAGGGAGATATAAATCGCTATCCTTGTGGTTTGCTTCCTTTGTGTTCAGAAAATATCTTCCATATTTTACATGACTCTCGTGAGAACTAATTAAACTTCAGGTGAAAGCATCAAAACAAAGTTGTCGGGAGTATATCAATGAATAACTCAGAAAAATCAATTACCAAAACTCCAAGCATTATCAACGATTGAACTTACGCATAACATAACAATTTTTATTGGGACTTTGATTCATTAAAGGGATAAGAAAACGTAAAGCGCCCCGTATTCATTATTGATACAAACAAACGGGCTGAGAACAAAAGACTGAAATACTCATTTTACTGTCATAAAACTGATTGAATGGCACTAATTTGCGTACGCGTAAGTTGTATGTGTCACGAATCAGCGTAGTCAGAGTTTCACCTTCATCTTTACCTATCTCTTCCGTGACTGGATATCGCAGTGTCTCAATTTTTTACAGAATCACTCACAAATTTAAAAGACTGTTCCTGCATTTAATAGTCGCTTAATTGTTAAAAATGCATTGAAAAGTTTCATTAAAGAAACATAAGTACACTTCCTTTACATCGTAATACTACTTAGGATTGCGCCCAAAAGTGGGGCCATTTTCTGTATCCATCACTGAGGAGGATTTGCTGTTTAATAGCTTACAGGAAATCCAGATAAACCTTTTTTCAAGTGTAAAGAAATGTTCCTGAGTAGAATGGTCGCCTGCCATAGCCTCGATCAAAATGCTTATAATAAATGCCACACTGTGCGTAATCAGAGTCATCTAGTCAATTTAAGAATGCCATAACGGTTACACCGGCCATCCAGTTAATTCTTGCTCTTGGAAACAAAAGGGATTTATCAAAAATAATGTTAGGTACAGGAGTCGGTTTCAATAAATTTATTTCTGAAAGCCCATTATACGCTGTGCGTGGGGCAAATTATTGCATAAGAATCGATAAGGGTGAAAATACAAGGGTTGTATGGGAACTCGACTAATACTCAGAAAAAGTAGATGTTGCATTCAAAAGTTGCGGTTGACACATTCATAGTTTTTCAAGGGTTTTTTTTTTTTTTGTTAATTCTCCGTTTCCCTTAGACATCATTTAAGTGATGCCAATCTTCTACATGAAAGTGTTTTCAGCTCAATGAATCAAAGAACTGAATTCTGAACTTGCTGGTTATGATTACTTGAGGAAAGGGTGAACAAAAACAATGTGTATATTGTGTTTGTGATTTATGGAGCGCAGTATGAAGTTTTGACGTCTACTCATTGCAAAAACAGTTATATTGGAGATTGAGGGCTGATCTATACTGTATGAATTATTGATTTCCTTCAACCCAACATCGTCTATGTTATACATTTTCCTGAAACCGCTTTCGTCGATGCAAAGGTGAGAGTCTTTTAAGTTTTTTCTGCTGTATAACTTAGCACGGCAAGTTAAGGAATACTATATGTAATTAATCAGAAACAATTTATTGCCAGTTTTAGCAATTTTTAGCCAAGAAATTCAAAACGAGAATTTCAATTTATTTTATAGAATTTGTGATCTTCAATTTAAAAAACTATATTTGTTCATGAAGCACTGGAAAACATGATAGCTGTATATGCAACGAAATGTATAAAATTACAGTCTGAGATATACGGCACTTAAACGCGTAAAACGAAAACAGACTTGTCGTCTTAACGATTTATGATCGTGTTGGGAACGTGTTGTTGATTTATAAATCTGTATCATTAATTCTTTTTTTCCCCTTATTTTCGTTTTTGTCTTCGTTCTCGTATATGTGTGATAAACGTTCTCTGAATATTCTTTTTTAAAATGTTTGTTTGTAGTGATAATAACAAGCATGTACTAGTGTTGTCATTTTTAACGGGGATTTGCAAGTCTGTTAAGTGCATTGATGGTGCAAGGTTTCGTCTAAATATTCATTATGGCCACGATTTCTGGATTACTTATGGTTAATAGAGCAATCTATTTCTAGTGTGACCGCACCATCGTTACGTTTTGGGGACTTTTGTGTCGTTTTTCAGAATTTACCGAGGGGGAGAGGGAGTGACGGATTTTAAGGGATACGTACGCTGAAAAAATTGTTTGATAGAAATGCGACACTGAGACATCGATACATAAAATAACTTACAAAGAGCAGAATTGTTGACTAATGCTTGCCCTAAAGGGTTCTAAGATCTCGAGGAGAGCTCAAACGTTTCCGAAATTCGCGCATTTCTAGCCTTGGTTCCATTCTCTACCAAACTTAATCAACCCACACACAATGTGTTTACTGGACTAAATCAAGGAGACTGTAAAAGCTATATTAAAAATGATCACTCTAATTTCTAGCTTAAAATCCAGTTACAGCTTTATAGTGGGAACTGCAGTTATAGAGAGAACTATGGTCATCTAATGTTTTCATTGTGAATATAATCTTTTTACGACTTGACACCTGCACAAGCATATACAAGATCGAGAGAGAAAGGTCATTCTTTTACTCGTATTTTTATGTGTTAGTGTGGATGAAGATGTGAAGCTTAAATTGGAAGATTAACTGCGATGATCATTCTTCACTTTCATCTACAACCGCAGTTCATATATGAATTATTTCATATAAACTTCACATCATTTCAC